GAGGGAGGGGGGATAGGGGTGAGAGACAAGCCGAAAGGTGATTCAGCGAATCATATACTCGTGTAACACTGTAGAGCAATGTGTACACGTAGAGCAGCGTGTACACATGGTGATGCATGTACCCAGCACAATAGACGATGAGATGAATTTGACCCCTGGGACGAGAGCTACGGTTTTAACAATTATGCGGAAGGGTCGAGCTATTCTCCAACAAGCGCGTGGATCCGCGCTTTCTGTACGCAATAGGGTAAGGATACATAAGGGAGCTATTGGTCAATCCAGCTGCGTTTCGGGAGATTATTCAGCAGCAACATTAAAGGTTGAAGAAATCCATTCTGTGCATTACGAGCTAGGGTCGTAGTGCAGCAAACATAGTCTTCACCCTCTCCACCTTCCTTGGGAAACAGTAGGCGCCCGCGTTCCTACTGACGGAGACACCACCTTACCAGCACAACATCGCCGATAGTCCACTTTCGGCCAGAGGCGCTGTGCAAACAGTGCGATTCTGTCGACAAACGGGTAACACGTACACGTGGAGGTGTGAGGGTTTTTTTGACACGTGGAAATGTGAAAGTTACTTATTTATTTTTTCTTTGGAGCTATGACGAGGTGTCAAGGATGTAATCGTTGTGCATTGAATTGAATCTTCAAAGATTAAACTTTAGGAAATCTGATTAGTGGATGGTCGTGGACGCGCAACTGAAACGGCGGTGAACAGAGCGGGAGGGGGGGCCCTCCGGCGTCGACAGTTGGAACAATCAAGACACTCCCCGGGAAAACCCCAAGATCGGCGTACGGGACCCTCTTCTTCCCTGGCTCGATAGAGGGCGTCGGGTACGGAAACAAGAATCACAAGATTCTTCACAACAAAGCGCTACCCAAGGGTAGTGTCTAAGCGCCCTGTCTAAGAGTGTCCATCGGACTGTTAGTCCTCATACCCTTCGAAGGGTACTGTATGAGGACAAAAGTTATTTTATTTTTTCCAGACAACCAGACTCGAGATTTCACTTGTGTGTTGTTTCGTAAATTGAAGTAAAGCATTTGCTTGTCAATTCTACTGAAAACTAAGTCAATCTACGAAAGAAAAATTGAAACCGTGACCACCAAAGTTGAAAAGAAATAAAATTCGCAGATTCTTATGTTATGAGAAAGCTTGGTCGGATAGACACTACTGTAGGTGACAAGCGATTTGCCTCTTCTGTTTTTTTTTTTTGCAACTTTTTTATACGTACATGCCCTCGTCCCACGTCGCTCTACACTCCTCTGATCCCCGCTCCCCTGATCCCCCATTCCTCTGATCCCCACTCCTGTCCCGTCACTACAAGTGATGCTACAAGTGATGCCTAGAGACACTAGCTAGAGACAACAAGTGACCTAACCTCACATGAGGCCATTTGACCTCTAGATGCTCTGCCCATTTCGATACAACAACTCGCCAAACATTGGAATACCAGGTTGACTTTTTATGCAAGCCGGGTGCAAGCCGGGGGTAAAAGGTAATCGCTCCACGTTCCAATTGGTAAAACTGCCGCAACGTGCCCCAGTCTTCGCAGTGGACGCTCTGTGTGACACGCCCGGTCACAACACCACTGCACCACCTGCTGCCCCCTGCAAGAAACTCGTCTGCGACCTACGCATGTTCCCTTCCTTTCCTCTTCATACATCACACTCACCATATCACCCTTCCGTTGATACTGTACATTAAGTGTTTATGTTCTCGCGTCGCACGCGCCCGTCCGCGTGCCCGTCGCCGCCCGCGCGCCCCAACATACTATCTTGAACATACCGTCCAACCTAAAAATAGACTTGCCCAACCTTCACCGTCAACGCCTTGACGGTCAAGGTTGGCCAAGTCGTTGACCAACGCACCTGCTGTTTACTTGTACAAATCCCTGCCTCTCGCCACTAATCCTTCCCCCGACGACAACGAAACTACTCTGCATCCATCATCTTACCCCCCCCCCCCCAATATAAAACATCGAACCCCACCTTCATGCACAATCACTAAACTACACTAGGTAAAACCCCCCTCCCTGTCGCCCCTCCCTGTCGCCCGCACCCACGCCCTATTCCTTCAACCCGCTCGCGATCTCCCTCACCTTCGCCAGCGTGCACCCTGCGGCCTCGGCCACCCTGCGCCCGTACTCCTCATCCGCCTTATACAAGTGCGCGCACATCGTGTGTAGAATCTTCTGCGACCGCAACGTCCTGAGCTCGACCGCCAGGTTCCCCACCAGGTTGGCGCGCTGCTGCTCCGAGAACGCCCGGTACAGCTCTCCGGCCTGCCGGAAGTTGAGCGTCTTCTCGATCGGCCCCTGCTCGTTCTTGCCGCATATCTCCCGCGTCGAGTACAACGACCTCTTATCCTCCACGTACGCGTCCGCGTCGTTGCTCGGCTCATAGTTGACCGACCCCTTCCACGCGTGCTCCATCACCATCACCCCGTCCTGGTTGTAGTTGCGCACCGCCGACTTGGCCCGGTTCACCGGCAGGTACTGGAACGTGTTCGACCCGTGCCGGTGCATCTGCGACTCGTGGTACGACACCAGCCTGCCCTGCAGCAGCCGGTCCTCGGACGGCTCGATCTTGCCCGGCAGAAAGTTGCCGGGCGAGAACGCAGACTGCTCCGACGCCAGGTGGAAATTGTCCGGCACCCGGTTGAGCTTCAGCTCCCCGAGAGCCGTGAACGGGAACTGCCGCGCCGGCCAATCCTTCGACGCGTCCAGCGGGTTGAAGTCGAAGTCGTCCAGCTGCGACGGGTCCATCACCTGCACGCCCAGCTCCCACGTCGGGAAGTCCCCGCGCCGGATCGCGTCGTACAGATCCCGCGTCGCGTGGCTAAAGTCCGCGCCCTGCACCTGCGCCGCCTCCGCGCGCGTCAGGTTCTGCACGCCCTGCTTCGACAACCACCGGAATTTCACGTACTTGACTTGCTTCTTCGCATTCACCATCTTGTACGCGTTCACGCTGTGTCCGTCCATGAAGCGGTATCCTCGGGGGATCCCCAGGTCTGAGTACAGGTACGTCAACATGTGCGTCGCCATGCCGCCGAGGGCAGAGAAAAAGTCAAAGTAACGGTTCGGGTCCTGGAGGTTCGTCACAGGGTCCGGCTTCAGGCTGTGCACCATGTCCGGGAACTTTAGATGGTCGCGGATAAAGAACACGGGAAGGTTGTTCCCAACGAGGTCATAGTTTCCTTCTGTGGCCGTTTTAAACTTGACAGCGAAGCCTCGAGGATCTCGCACTGTCTCTGGTGAATGCTTTCCATGGATAACCGTACTGAATCTCACAAACACCTCCGTCTCAATTCCACGTTTGGAAAGAAACTCAGCAGCAGTGAGGTCTGAGAAATTTCCAAACGAGCGGAACTCCCCATGCGCTCCTGCACCACGTCCGTGCACTACGCGTTCCGGAATTCGTTCGGTGTTGAATCGCCGAAGCTTTTGAAGGGCGTAGATATCTTGAAGTAGGATTCCCCCGCTTTTGGTGGCTGTCTGACTGTTCTGGTTTGATCCGACGTGATGCCCAGTGTCCCCTGTGAGAAACTCACGGGCTGCAGAGAGAGACAGGGACAGGATTACGAGGAGGAAAGCTGACGTGAGAGACATAATTGGGTAGTGGCGGTGGAGGGGGCCGGAGGGAAATGCTACGCCGAGACGCTGCAAGAGGTCTATTTATGCTCTTTCACGGGGGGGGAAGGGGGGGAGGGGGGGGGGAAGGGGGCTCGAAGCGTGCGGAGAAGTCCATGAGTGGAAAGATTGCAAAAGTGCACTGGCGGGCGAACATCGAATACTTGAGCTCTTTGCGTGCTATCGTTGATCGAGAAAACCATACATTTTCCTTACACACCGTTCACTTCCGTACCTAGATTGGCCATACTAGGTGTCCGACACGGCGTTGTCCACAACGTTACGAGTTCATATCCAGTCACGTTTGAGGGCAATTCTCTTTCGATATTTAGATTTATTCTCGTATAACAGCGTTAGGAAGAGTGAGGTCCTCCCCAACGTGAATCACTAATTAAACCCCCTACGTGCTCACTGAAGGAGGCGCGATGAGAGAGATCGCCGTGTATTTCGCACTAAGCCTATGTTTTCGAGCAACAAATGAAAAGCTCGGTTGGTGGACAAGGTGAGGAGTCGCGTACCCCTCCTGACCGTCTCCCGCGTCCACTCATCCACCGTTGTACTGGATAGTCTTGGCGTTTATCTACACATGACGTCATTCTCCCGACCTCAAGGCTGCTCTTTTGTGGTGCAAGCGGAGAAAGGAAAGATCGTTTTTCGCGCGCAATGAAGGCGTGCCATGTGCCCCTCCTTCAAGTGTGAGGTCTTGCGATGGATCAGAATGGAAGCAAGCGAAAACTTGGAGCCCTTCTTTTCGTGGCAAGAGCAGGTGGAACAGGGCAGATGCAAAAGGCCAGAATCGTTCCTCTGCTGAGGTCAGCAGAGGTGTTTGTACAGAGTGTAGTGCGCATTTCAAATACGTTCCAGCAAGTGCGATACCTGTGTAGTGCTACAGCGGAAAGCTGAGTGCATCACAGCTGCCCAGTTACTATTCAATATTGTATTTATTGACGGTAATTCTCATACAGTACAGTACAACATGCCGATATGCGTTTTTGATGTCCACTTTTGTAGTCCTTTTTATGAGATTACGAAGTAAATAGAAATCGATTTCTGGTGAAGAAGAAAGACATTTTGGGCGCATGACCTCGCAGTGGCCAAAACAAACCACTACCGTTGATAAACAAGGGTGTCAGGACCCCTCCTGTGCGAAATAGTTAGGCAATGTGGCTTTTGAAAACTTGTTCGGAAAGAAAGGCTTAATTACACATGTGCGTAGTATTGCATCCCACGTGTCGATTGCGCCATGGCTTTAGCTTCATCTCTAACTCTCCACGCACAAGCATCGCTTGGAAAGCTGTGGTTCCTTCAATCTGACTGCGGTAGTGCGCTGCCGTTCGCGTTAGTCAGCTACAGTACTTGGCAGCCAGCTCCGAGATGGCAGCATTTCAACTCTCTCAAGTGCCTGACGTGTGAGCTGCAGCAAGGAGGAGGGGCCTTACAAAAAGGAATATTGTTAAAAAAACAGCTGTATCTCGAGAGTGTACGCAGCTACACATATATTTATCGCAATTGACTGCAGTGGTCACGCTTCAGTGCTGATTTCAGCACAGGCTTTCAAAAGCCCTGCGCAAAGCTCTTGTGAGACCGGGGTTTCTTTTTCTGCGACGGAATTAAGTCGATTGCAGATATTCAAAATGTCAGTGCTATGTGCCACATAGAAGACTGAAACGCCGTTCCTCGTTATCTAAAGGGCAAATATGCGCCGACAGACGTTTTAGCCGGGACAAGGTGAACTTTAAGCAATTTGTCGCAGTCAGTCCTTCTGAACACGCATGGATCAAGACGTACAGTGTCTGTGCGAGGACCAGATTTTGCTAGCCTCCAAAATCAAGCCTGCACGTGGAGGTGATGCGAAACATCCACTCCGCAAGCGCATGAACGATTAGATGGGTGCGGGTGATCTTCTAGAGAAACTGCTGTTGATTTGTGATATAAATAGGCCATTTCTACATGCAAAACCATGCATGCTTTCTACGGTGGCGCCTGAAAGATGAGACAGTTGTTTCTGCATGCCCCTCAATTCAGAAATGCTTTGCTGTGGATACGCCACAGTGCGATTGGTAAGCTGGGAAAATATTTTCATATGAACACCGAACATCGCTTTGGGGAGTGTCTCAGGAACGAGATGGGCCGCTGGGACTTGGTGACCGGTAAATGCCACTGCATCAATTTCTATCTTGGCTATTCATGGGCACGCCGAGATGCGCCCCCGGTGTCTCGACGCGGAGCCCCTTGATTGCCCCCCGTAAACGTCCGCTGCAGGCGCGGCGGGATGTTGCTCTAAGGTGTCCGCACGTTGCACCATTGCGCTCAGCCACGCTACTGGAGTGCTAAGCGCCACGTGGCTCATACAACCAATGCCATCAGCCCACGAAAAGCTAATTGAGGACGAATTGAAAGAAGTTTGCAGAGAAAAAAGAGTGACCCTTTTGTGATAAAGCTTTAGAGCACAGTGACTGAGGTCAAAGGTCAAATTTCATCGGGGTTGTTTCTCGTGCGCTGTCAATCTGAAGGCTTTCCCTCTCGGGATATCCCTAATGCCGGTACTGATCACTATACTGAGGGCCAGTCCTAACAGGCGCTTTTCTTTTCTTTTGTTTTCCTTCAACCAGTTGCGGTCACGCTATTGGCCGGATCATTTCATTAAATTAATCGCACGCCACAACGAATGCTACACAGAACCACTGTAATGCTTGGTAATTCTGCGAACTGGTCGAAATCCATTGGCTAAAGGAAGTACCAATCCACACCCAGTCCATATGCACACTACTAAAATTCCATCGACTCGATGCGGTGCAGTGGCACTTGCAGTACAATGAAAGGGTGGAATTAAATCCAAATACGAGCACATGCAGATCAAAACATTAGTTCTCTCAACATTACAAACCAGACACAGTACCTTCTCCCGCCATTTTATGTGCACAACTCGGCCCTCCCCCGCCTCGACGCCCACGTGAAATTTGCGACAGTCGTTTGCTAGCATTTTACACTCTGTTTAGGAAACGGAGCACCACCGGACGGCAGAAGGGTACCCAGAGTTCAGCACCCAGAGTTCAGCTTTTTGAAATCAAATGCCTCCTTGGCATCGATCATGAAATGGAGAGAAGCCGGGGAGGCTGCTCTCTAGTTCATGATCGATGATGAAGTGGCTTCGCCGAAATCCCTTTCCTGTGAACCACCCCGCCCTCGCTCCCTCCCCCCCGCCACCAACCCCCCTTCCCCCCCAAATAAGACCACGTCCCCTCCTCCCCGCCACCCCTACCTCGCGCCCGACCACCACGCCCCATCACCATCTTCCTCACCTCAGTACCGTGACAAACACACATCCTCCGACATGCTATTGTCCCCGCCACCGCGTCATCCTCCTAACATCGACACCGACACAGTCTCTCCCCGCACCCTCCATCCCTTCCATATCTTTCGTTTCATATCTCAATCCAGCCCAGTTTTGGTCATGCACATCGAGGGACCTCATTATAGCAACACGTCGTCCAGCTTTGCTTTTGTCGAGCTACAGGGAGTCAGACTGGGCCATGTGCATGCGCGAGGAGGCGTTGCTGTACCTTCCATGCTGCATGGATCTGCAGACCGTCCAGACTCTGTTCCATTTCCGAGGAGTGGAACTATGGGATGGCATTACAGTAAAAACTACAGCAATGTGCTTCCGATTTTAGTGAAGAACTCAATAAAAACGGGGCGAGGGAAAGGAAAAACGAGAGGAAAGTCCTTTGTTAGGACTGGCCCTGATCAGTAGGCAATTTTGGCTTTTCTCCCGATTTGCTCTACTGATCACTATACTGATCAGTAGGCCCTCAAAAAGGGTCGCAATTGTGCCCCTCTGGCTTCTGTTAACGTGTTCCGTTCACTGTCAGTCTTCCCAATCCTTAAACTGCATCCTTTTTGGATTCACCCGGATTTTCAAGTCTGGAAGTCGGTTGAGGTCGGGCTGAGATACGGCCAGTTCCACCAAGACCTCTACCCCCATGGCTACAGTCACCAGCCCTGAAGATAACAATCATATCACATCCCCTCCAAGCCCTCCTGAAGGCACCAGCCAAACCCCTTCTGGCGAGCGGACTACAGCTACTAGCATACCCCTTCGCGAGCGTAGTTCGATTCAACCGACTGAAACCCATGCTGTAACAGATTTGCCGACTGTTCAATCTAGCGTGATAACGACTACAGAAGGTCAACTTACTGACTCTGGGACTGGAGGAAGGGGTAGCGGGCGGGGTATAACAAGGAGTGGTCGTGGGAGGGGCAGAGGATCACGAGGAAGGGCTCGGTGGCGAGGAAGGGCTAGTACGAGTGGTGGAGTTGTCGGAGCGGGAGGTGGAACAGGGTCGAGAGGTAGAGGCACCTCAAGGGCTAGGGGTCGGAGCAGAGGGAGGGGCCGTGGAAGACGTTTTGATTGAGGTGTTGACCCAAGTGAAGGATGGGTGATAAGTGCAACTAACTGCACCACGGTTATGATGGAGAAGGAATTTGCCCACGCAGTCATTCAGAAAAAAGCACGTATGCTGTGCAGTGGCGTCGTGGAAAGAATGCGTGTGGAATGCAGTGTTCGGAACATCGCGCCTACTCGTTCGGGATTTACGGTGCTTCTGATGAACGGTCTGCTAGACCAACTGATGGGCTGGCTTAACGAGCTCATCGTGCTAAAGAATTTGGACGCAGATATCGTAACCCTGCCAGACATGTACAAGTATGTGGCAGTCCTCTTGTTGTCTCACACAACTGGGATGAGCTTCGATAAGACTATCTCTGTGTTACGGCAAGCTGGAAGTACGCCACCGTCTCTGGAACGGATTAGATTCATCGCTGATCATGTCTTGGCTTACTCTGCGACTGGAAGGGGTGCAGAAGGATCAACACAATGGAGTGCCCAACGGGACCAAATTAGACATTTGTCTGAGTTCGAGGCCATTGCGTTCAGGGAAACAAGGAAGGTGTTCTTCTCCCCTCTTCATTTATTAGCT